ACAGATCAAGTAATAAATGATCCCAATGATAAAAGAGCTCTGAAAATCTTGCTTGTTATTGACAAACAGGGCTTCTCAGTATTGACCAATCAAACGATGATGGATCAATCAATCAAAAATCAATCAATGGATGATCGTAAAAAGAAAAGATTTTGAAAATTCTCAAAGACCAGCTCAAGGTAAGAATTTACGTTATGATTAATAGATTCCAACTCATGTCATACTGTCAGTAACCGCGAGCATCTATTGAGTGGCTAGTCAGAAGAAACCACAGCAAAGTGTATGTGTGTGATTTTCCGACAGGACCTGTCACAGATGCTCATTGAGTTAGTCATCACCTCCACACCAATTGAATCATTTAGGAAGGATCTTTTGGGCAAGAAAAAAGAGCCGTACTATTGACACATTCCTTGAGGATGGACACATGTATGAAACCATTTTGGCAGGCCAACAAAAGTTACATTCCTTAAGTGCAACCAACCTTATTGGTATGGTCAGCAAACTGTGCCAAACTGATAAAATGTGCAACAGATGTAATTTATCAAACTTCCTAAACAGCTTTCTGGCTTCTTTGCATATCTGCAAAGCATTTGGCATCAAAGGGCAATGAACACACATGTTGAGAAAATCTAAGGCTAAGCCACAACCAAGAGAAGCACCAAAACTATGCATCAAACAGAGTGTCTGTGAAAACTACAAATATGAATACTTGGATACCAGCAAAGGTTTCTAAATTATACAATCAGACCAGATTATATAAAGTCATGATTGATCATGATGCGACATTGCGAAGAAACAGAAGCCAGATCAATCATGCGTGAAGACAGTGAAGGTAAAACCTTGGATGATCTTTAATAAAAACCAAAAGAACTGTGGATGCTGTAAATCAGGAACAAAAACAAAGTTGCTGGAAAAGCTCAGCAGGTCTGGCAGCATCTGTGAAAGAGAAAACAGAGTTAATGTTTTGAACGTTAACTCTGTTTTCTCCTTCACAGATGCTGCCAGACCTGCTGAGTTTTTCCAGCAACTTTGTTTTTGCTTTGATGATCTTTGTTGGTGATGTTAAGTGATAGCAATAAGCAACAAGACAAACATTTTGTTAAACAAGTGCAACAAAGAACAACATGTAGCTCTCTAAATGGATATATGGTCAGCAGATCATATATGAGTTGTCAAACCTTCAAACCCTTACAGAAAAGTTTGAAATCTTAGTCTTGTAAACTCTGCTTTACTTGCTTGTATAATTATTGAAATGGCAAGTGTTTATGTCCAACCATGCATTTCTGTTTGAGATAATCTTTTTTACTCTTTCTAAAGATGAGTATGTTGTATTATATCTAACAGACAGTATGTCAGTATACATTTAAGAGACATTCTAATATATCATTATTGCATACGATCTGAGTACATAAAAGTCAGACAACATCTTACTTGGACTTCACTTGAAGTATAACACTCTTGAGGAAGCATAATACTCTTTGTAAATTAACAGCACAGAAACTTCTGTGTCTATGGATGTGATAATTGTATAAAACAGCCAGCTCTAATAAACATCTGTTGAATCGTTCAGTGGCACATTATCTATATCTAGTTTCCAATGTTACAAAGGCAAACAGAAGCATTGTATTCATAGGAATGTGCTGGCTTTCATAGGAATTAAACATTAGTTGATAACTATATTTTTTATAGCAACTAATGCATGTTACAAATAATAACTATGCTCACATTAGGAAGATTTCAGGATAGACAGAATTGGCTGGCCAAAGCTTATGAATTCAGACTTAATTATTCTAATTTCTCTTCTTATACTATTTTGTCACTTTAGTTATATGAAGATCCACTTTGTCAAAAATATTACCTCATTCAATTAACTGCAATAATTAACTGCTAAATTTCCCACACTTTATTCGTTCCCCAATCTTCCAGCTTCAGGGAAGAAAACTTTCCAGAGATACATGAATAACTTTGCCTTCACATTTAAAACAACAACTGCCTGGAACCCTCTTTACTGAGTAAATATTGCTCATAGAAATCCACTTAAAAGCTAAAAGGATATAAAGTATTTAAGCCAAGCCTGGAGAAATTAAAGCATTATTAAAATAGTGTACGCCTTATGTACCAGATGTTCTAAAATGAACCTAAGCCTTAATAATTCCAATGCAGCACAATGCAGAACATTTTAATTAGAGGATCTTAGCAGAGGATGACAATTAAAACATTCAAAAATTTTAGGATAATTAGTGTTACGTAATAATTTAAAAATTATGAATTACGTTTTAAATGAAGTCTAGTTTTAACACTTTAATACTTTCACCAGAATTTACATTTTATATTTCGGGCTAATATGTAATATTTAAATCAACCACTCGATGGCAGCAGCAGCTAACATTTACTTGCTGCACAGAATCCCTTTTGACATGGTTTGGGAATTACTAGAGTAAATTGCTAACTTTCTATAACCTACACGGGATTGATCTTCTTGTGGTTCTTACTGGCTATTTGGACTCATATTGCACAAGAATTCACCAATATTTTTATTTTAAAAGATGCACTCCTACTTAGCCTTTTTAATCTATGGTGCAACTTTTAGTGATAAATTTATACTCTGGGATCCCCTTGTTCCTTTACCCCACCCAGATCCACACCTTCCCAAATAATCAGTGACTTCTCTATTCTTCTTATCAAAATGTGCTACCTGGCATTTATCTGTGTGGAACTAAATTTGGCAATTAGTTACCTATTCTATAATAATTGCCTATTCAGTGTTACCAATATCCTCCTGTAATTTATTACAGTCATCCTCAGCGCTGGACCACCCCAATTTATTATCATCCTCAAATTTCATTTTTTTTATTCTGAAGTTCAAATCATTAATATAAATTGCGAATATCAGCACTCCCAGCACTGATTCTTAAGGAACACCACTTACACTTCCGCTACTCAGAATAACTTCTCTTTACTCCTATTCCCTGCTTTTAGTCTTGAAACCAGTCAGCAATTCATCCTGTGCTTCTCTGATATTCTCTGACCATATTCATTAGCCTATTATATAACATCTTATTAAACTTTTAAAGATCGTATATAAAATTCTTTACTGAATTATCTACAGTTCTGTTACCTCCCCAAAAAAAAATCACTAAGGCTGGTTTGAGCAAGTCTCTTTCTTTTAAATTCTCTGCTGACTGTTCATTATTAATTATCATTTCTAGTTGTTTTTCTGTTCTCTCTATTAGTACTGTTTCCATTATTTTTCCAACCACTGATGTTAAAAGAACTGGATTATAATTCCCCGAAAATGTCCTGTCCCCTTTTTAACTATAGGAATCACATTAATGGATCCTTTGGCACTCCAATAAGTTTCTAACAGATTGTTAAATATGTTTACTAAAATCTCAGTTACTTCTTGCTTAGATTCTTTTCAAATATGAACATGCAATCCATCTGCACTGCAGTTTTATCCCCTTTGAGTTTATTTAGTTTAAAAGATCCTATTTTTATTTTAAGTGCCCTTATCTCATTGCTCATGTCATCATTCAATGTCATGTCCATCAGTTCTATATCCCTGATAAATACTATGGTGAAATAATTGTTGAATATTTCTGACATCTCTCCATGGTATTTCCCCATTAATTAATGGTCCTCTACCCATCCCAGCCTTATTTATTTATACTGACCTGCCTGTAAAATATTTTACTATTTTCTTTTATGTACCTAATATTTAATGTCATAGTTCTCTTTGCCTTCCCTTTTTTTCCCAATAAAAAAACTTCTCCTAATCTTTTCTCATTCTCTCCCTCCTCTGCCTATGTATTTTTTGTATGTCTCCTTTCCAATTCTCATTTCTTTCCCCTTTTGACTTTATTTATCCATGTAGTCACATTAATTATGAGTTTGTTCCTTATTTTTGGCAAAATATACTTTCCCTACATTCTGGTGAACACTGATACAAATATGTCTTATTGTTGTTCTACATTATTGTTTGTCAACATTGCTGCTCATTTTATTTTCTTATTTTAAACTAATCTATCTGAGATTAGGTACAGGAATGGTGCCACATTTGTAAATTTGAGCCTTTTATCAAAAAATGGTTCAAAGCTGGAACCAGCAACTAACAAAAGAAGTGACAGATAACAACTGAATGTAATGTCATGTTTTCTCCAATGAGGAGTGCATTTACAGCAGGAAATGCTAGGGAGCAGCACCAAACTACACAGAGACAATAGCGATTGGGAGCAGTTAACAAGTCCATGAGGATGTGAGGAGGTGGACAGAACGATAAGATGGGTGTACTTTCATGGTGGGTGAAGAGGGATGCCACGAAGTAGGTTAGTGAACACAGGGTAAGGTGTGGATGATATGCACATCAGAATGTCTGGCAATAAAGTAACCTTTCCAAAGCAGCTTAGATCATTAAATTGATTCCTGCATCTAGACATGTAGTAGTATGGCTGCACTGTTGATTTCCTTGGTCACCTCCAGCTCCACCTTCTCATTGCTAAGAGCAGCTTTCTTCCTCTCATTTGCTGGAGAAGAATATCTCTATGAAGATAGATTGAGTTGACCTATATTCCCTGAAGTTTAGAAGAATGATAGGTGATCTCATTAAAGCATATAAAGTTCTTAAAGTTGGCTGGTGTAGAAACAGAGTGTAATGAATCTGTAGATGAGCCTCTGAGGTAAGCTGTGATGTAACTGTGACATCAGCAGTCATGTGTTTGTAATCTGCTAATAGGTGAAATTGAACAACTCAAAATGTGCTGCTCTGGAGCCTTACCATTTTATAGAGACTGATGCTTAAAAAATAACCAAGATGTCTGGCTTCAGCTTATATGAAAAAAAACACAAGGGACAGTTGGTAGGGTGTAGCGTTCCAGTTTGCAATCAGTTATTTTCTGGTTTGTAAGTGCTTTGAATCACCCCCAGATCCCTGGATTTATTTAGGGAATGTGAAATAAAGAAGGCAGTAGGTTGTTGTTTCAAGGCAAAAAATGTCTTTTTATTTAAAATACAAAAGGTATGTATGATACAAGAAATATAGGTAAATGCAATCAACAGGGAAATTGACACAATCAACTATACAGAGAACAAGAATGCTATTAAATATACTATTCGCTAGATTAAACACTATTAGAACTTAAAAACAATGGTTTTAATTACAGAAACTTTAATCATGCTTCCTACCCTTGGTGTCCCAATGCACTGTCACCACCCGCCTCTTCACCCTGCTAGCTAGGTCGGAACTTTGGGTCTTGGGAGTTTTAGCTCACCACTGAGGAATATGTGGTTTTCAAATATTCCTGGCTGTTTCCACTTGCTGTACTTGGGGCCTGGATGACGATTTCAGACTGCAAAGACTTTTCAGTTTGGGTTGAGTCCGCTGATGCGGTGAGGTGCAGCATGGATCTATCGGGTAAGTATTTGGTTTTCTTTCTGCTGGTTTAGTAGACCCGATTTTTCACCTCAGGATGTACCTAGGCCTTGTGGTGTCAGTCAGGTCATTTGGTTTTTGAAGTTTGTCAGTTCTTGGATCTGCTGGTTGAGGTCACTTCCCTGGTTCTGAACAGGCCTGTGATCCGTTGGTAGCTCTAGCTTGGAAGATCATGGAACTGTTAGATTCCTTAAAAAAATAAAGAACGAGTCTGTGATCTGTTTAAATATCTGGCTTTATTTCTTATTGTGTGTTGATTACATGGTTGCAAGTTAAGAACCTCTGCAACAACAGCCTTTTCTATGCCTTTATACATTTTTCTTTTTCTTGATTCTCCCCAAAACCACAAACTGTTCTCCATACTCTAACCATAAGGTCTAGGCCACAATTTATTTGTGACATATGCTCGTGTCTGCTTTGAACCAATTTCAACTGGACTTGTAAGTTCCCTTTCTGTATTAGCATTTGCAATTTAACCCTTGTTATGCTGAAGCTTAATCACACAATTTTCAAAATACTCCACAACTCCCCCCTTCTGATTCTTCCCCAAACAGAATCACACCAGCAAAGCAAGCTACAATAATATGTAGGTCACCTAGAGTGTTGAAGGGCAGTAAAGTACCGAACTTTAAGCTTCAGCATTTTCTGAATATAACAATTAAACAATATAAACAAGAAATACAGAATAAGAATCACAACAATTAAAAAGTAATATAATCAACTTCCACATCTTGGGCTATTGGAGCAATTCTTATCAGGCTTCAAGTTCAGTCACTGGTTGCTCATCAACATCATACTTGGACTCAAAATTCCCCAGTTCTCTTTTTTTTGAGGTATATGTATGTCATCATTTTTGCACCCTTTCATGTCAGCTCACTATTACTGTTTTAAAGTCAGTTTCTCTATGGATTATGTGTCAGTGTCTTATCCTTTAAACTGTGTTCTTGTGCTCTTCCAAGCCATACTAATCTCTTTGTCAAGTAGGTGTACGTGTCTGAAGCCCATTCCTCAGTGCAATATTTTTACCAAGCATTCACTCATGTTTGTTACTTCCGAGGTAACATGCTTTTGCGCACTTACGTCAATATCCCAAGACCCCCCCCATGTCACGCATTCTTGACTCTCGTATGATCTTATCAAAAGATCTATGAGGTTTTACTTTTCTCTCCACATACAGTCCGGATGCCTCGGATAGTGGCTCAATCACCAAGTTCACCCAAGGAAAGACAAGGACACAAACATCACCAAGAGAATTCTATCAGTTTAGTACTCTGACAAAAACTTCCATTTCACTAAAGTGTACATTAACTTCAATTGCCATTTCAACACATTATTCTGATTCATTTTTCTTCTGCCACTACTCTCTGTTCCTAATTGCTTCATCTCATCCAATTTTGCCATTTAACTATTACCACCTATCTAATTCCAGAGATCTGTAGTACATGGTAAATCATCTTATAATATTTTAAAACAGAAGTCAAACATTTCTGTTTGATTCAGGCAAAACATACTTTGTTTTTATTCGTTCTCTAATATGAATCACATATTTTAAACTTACTTTATACCTCATTCTAGATGTTTGATATATCTCTATGCAAATTTGTCCAAATTTAAAATTCTGTATACTCCCCCAAAGTCACTAACAATTTTATGCATTGAAATTCCTGAATGTTTTCACATTAGTTCTTCAATGCTGAAATGAGTTGTCAATGAATGGGCTTGATGGTTTGAGGAAGCCTCATCCATCATTGTGTTGCAATGCTGAAAGTCTGCAGACAGGTTCAGAAGTTCAACCTCTTATCTGGAAAACAAAAAAGTATCCATCCATTTCACTTCAAGCAGAATTGATAGTGGTATAAGGGGTGGGCTGAAAACTCCCAGACATAATTACATCGACTGTCTCTCTTCTTACTGTACAGAAATAAGTATGCTATAATTCACAAAGGAAAAGCCTACCTCGTTTGTTAGATTGTACTCTCCCTTAAAACTCCTTTATCAGTTTTGTGAGACTTTAGAACATACCTTCAGAATTTTGTTCAAACGAATTGCATTTCCAAAATTCCAATATTCCTATTTTAGTCGATTCTGCTATAATGCATGTTTCTTCAATGTGAATTGGCTTTAACGTGATTGAAGAATTTAAGACACTATTTGTAGAATGCAAATTTTCCTTACCTATATTGGCTGTAATGTGGTTCTGGGTGAATTAGTTTAAATTGCGCGACTTTTGCGTGATTTTCTTATAACGGAAGATCGCATGAGAGTGGAACTATTGCGTTATATCGGAACCAACTGTACTTGAATACTTTTACACCAAAGTACAGTTACAATGAGCAAATCTTACCATCTGGAGTTAAAGATTTACTTATGTTAAAACACTCTTTCGAAGTTTTCTCTGGCCAGAAAATGAAATTCTAATTGGGATAATTTCCAGTTCCAAGAGGAAAATTTTTATAAAGCTTTACGACCCAATTTTTAAATCAACATTTTGTTGCAGATTTTTACTTTACACAACCACTGATAGTTTCCTGAAAGGACATTATATTAACTATACACGTTCCACAGTGATACAGGTACACATTAATTTTTCAAATTACGATAGATTCCCCAAATGCAAACTAAATTCAAAGGATTCCCGGATCTTGAGCTCCAGGGAACGAATACACAAATATTACACAAGACAATGTTTAACCTCCAATGAACAAAGGTGCATTCAAACCAGACTGTAAAGAGTTAACACTTCAATGAACACAGTTGCGTGCTCGCGCTCTGTCTCTGCTTCTTTTTCCTTTGCAGTCATTCCAGTTGCTCCCAGGTCTTTGCTTTTCTCCTACTCTGACTGCAGTCCTATGCTCACCATCAAAGGGCAGATTATGTCTGTCAATTAAAGGTAAACCTGTCAATTCAGCACCAGTGTCCAAAAGACAATATATTTAGGAGTGCCTTCTGCTATTCAGGGGACATGCCCTTACTGCATTCCAGGAATGCCCATTCAGTCACAGAGTGCCCAAATGGATAAAATTTCTGTCGTGGAACAGGCTTAGGACCACCTGCAGCCTCCTTCTTAATCCTACAGGTCTTTGCCCAATGTCGTTCATGCCCACAGTGTTGTTTCTACGGTCTGGATGGTTCTAAGTTTAGATTCCACGTTCCATCCCAAGCAGTTAGCCTCTTCAAAGATTTCACCATACGTTCTATGACTAGTCTCCCAATGGGGGACCATAAACTTCAACATTTTTGCTAGTTCAGGTTTTAATTGTGTGACAAAGATGGATTTCAGGACACTGCCACTGTCAATTTTTTCCGTGTCTATGTCCTCTGCCAGGCTGGACCACTCTATCCAGATCACCACAAACCTTTTTGCATTGTCCCGTACTTGCTCATTGCCTTTCCACTGTCATGCTGTGATTTTACTCCAATCTGTTTCAGGTGGGCTGTAATCCTTCAACCAATCCCGGAGTCTTGTCCTTTGTCACCTAATTCCTCTCTAACTTCTTAACCAGTTTTCTGCTCGTATTGCCTCCTACCATGATAGACAACACTTGTACTCCATCCATAGGGTGAAAACTGTATAGATTTTTAAGCTTTTCCAATTCATTCCATGCTTTCATGCTTCCCTTTTTTTGGATGGTCCTTGGACCATCTTTCCACCAGTTTGGGTTTGGGAGGCTTGTGGGCTGCCCATTGTGTATATTCATATGTAACTATACACGTGTCATCCTTTGTCTTTTTTGTCCTCCTTATGGCTCCTGGTCTGTACTGGCTGTAAATTAAATGGTTGGTCCTCCTCTTCAGACTTACTAGAGCTGAGACCATATTCAAAGTTTTCGTGAGTTCAAATTGTTGTTCAATGTATTTCTTTAATTTTTGGAGAATGACAACTTCAGAAATATCAAGTGGGGCATTTCCTCCTTTCATTTTTGTGGGGACTTCTTGTTTCTTTTCCCCTGTCATTATTTCTTATGACTATCAGTTCCAATAGGACTTGTGCCCAAGTTGTATAGTTGGGGCTGTCAGAGATATTATTTTCTCTCCCAGGGGTTGGGGACAGAGGTATTATTTCTTCGACCGAGTTAAACATCTGTAAATAATGAGCTCAAGTCAAAGATCGCAGACAGGTTATGGCATTCACTATCATCCAAGGACTTTTAGAATTGAGGAGTCCTTATCTCTCCAATAGGGTGTTGGAGTCTTCAGTTTCCCAACATTCATCTTTGCAATACTGCTGACTACACCAAATTGTTAGATTCCTTAAAAAAAATAAGGAACAAGCCTGTGATCTTTTTAAATATCCGGCTTTATTTCTTATTGTGTGTTGATTACATGGTTGCAAGTTAAGACCTCCACAGCAACAGCCTTTTCTGTGTCTTGATACATATTTCTTTCACTTGATCCTCCTCGAAACCGCAAACTGTCCTCCATACCCTAACCACGAGGTCAAGGCCACAGTCTGTTTGTGACACATGCTCATGTTTGCTTCAAACTGATTTCAACCGGACTTGCAAGTTCCCTTTCTGCATTAGCCTTTGCAGTTTAACCCTTGTTGTGCTGTAGCTTAATCACACAATTTTCAAAGTAGTCCATGGAATATTCTTGGAATTGATCTTGAAAAATAGATCTTTGGAATGTTCTTGGAAATAGCTGCTGGAATTAGTTGTTAAGATTTTTCTGGGGATAGCTCCCTCAGATGAGATCGGGGCCTGCAATTACATTGATTGTTGGGCCCCTTATCTTCGTGTCAAATCTGTGTTTTATGGTGTTCCTTCTGAAATCAGTTGGTTTTCAGATCTTTAAGAGTGTGTGAATGAATATCAGTTGAAGCTGAATGCCTGGTATCTCTGTGAAAGGATTTTGATTGAAGTTGAATGTTCGGTATTCTGTACGCCTCATACTATCTGTGCCAGGTAGCCCAAGGCGTAAAAACTATCTCTGGCTAGAGTCTTGTTAGTGTCATTTGATTGTTCTTTTAGAGTGGAGGTGTAAACTGGGATTGCAGGATGAACAATACTCCCAGTCAGAAATCCCCATTCTGGTTCTGAGATAGTAGGAACTGCAGATGCTGGAGAATGGGAGACAACAAGGTGCAGGGCTGGATGAACACAGCAGGCCAAGCAGCATCATAGGAGCAGAGAGGCTGACGTTTCGGGCCTTGACCCGTATTCAGAAAAGGGGGAGGGGAAGGGGGTTCT